AGTCATCGCTGAAACTTAGAACGAAAGGTTAACTACCAGGTTTCGTTAACAATATCGATGCTTGTGGATATCAATTCAGCAAGTAGACTTAAATTAATGGAATTTTATTAATTGTTGTTTTATCAATTCAGTCAAATAAGGTGAAAAGAATTAAGATTAAAAAAAAAAAAAAAGAACAGTCAAACAAGGCCCATAAAGGGGGAATATGCTAGAATGACTTTTCAACAAAGTGAAATTAGTAAAATGACATTCTTCTATTTTTTATGAAGAAAGACATTTACTCATTCTTTGTAAAATGAAGTTATTTTACAAATAAAAATTTTTGAAAGGTTATTTTACTAATAAAACTTTTCAAAAGAGCTATTTTTACAAAGCCCTCCCCACAAAGCTACTAAAATTTACCAATAATGCTTAATATAATAAGTAACAACGTGCAAAATTACTTTTATTGTTTATTTGATGAAATTGTTTAGTCAAATTTAGAATCCATATATATGAATTTTTAGAGCGGGTTTATATGTTGTAGTAAAAAAACTGTCCCTGCATTATGATGTAGCGCATAAAACATCGTGTGCTTGATGGTCAAATGCGATAAGTATGGATCATGCAGATGCAATTACATTATTATACATACATACATACATACATATATATATATATATATATATATATATGATATAGTTTTGTGCAATTTATTTTACTAATTTTTATTGAAACTTTAGAAACCATATATTTGAATGTGAAATCACGCAAAGCATGACTTACATATTAATAATACCTAAAAAAATATTTAAGCTCAAGCCTTCTTAAAGCTTTGGGAGCAAAGGAGAGAGTATTTCAAAAATGGAGGTCTCATCAGCGTCAGAGATATCGAGCTCTTTGAGTTCTTCAAGTTCATCCAACTTCCTTCAAGAAGCTTTTAGGGCTTTCTTCAGATGTTTGGGTTTCGAGAGTAATAGAACTCAAAAAGAACCTGCAACCAGTAAATCTGAACCACTAGCCATAGAAAAATACTCATCAACTGTAAGCATGATATTTCTCTCTCTCTCTCTCTCTCTCTATATATATATATATTTATATATATTGATATACGTGTATATATATATATATATATATCCTTAGGCATCAAGAAATACTAGCCGCATGTATCTAATGAAAATAGAAAAAGTTCTGTAGTTTGAAAGAAAATTCTGCCACTATGGCAATAGAGGAAACAAACTCGAAAAAGGGGAAAAAAAAAGTCTACTCTCTCTCTCTCTTGTTGCTAATAGACTCTGATTTCATATGGGAAATGCTAAGAATAATTAAAATTTTTATAAACCAAGCTGTCACGTAATAACATTTTAGCCACATAAATAAAGCAATGTTGTTGCTTCGCTTTTAGTAATTTGGTCATTGAGGACTTAATTTACTTAAATGTAAGTGTGTGTGTGTGTGTGTATATATATATATGTATGTATATATATATCCAAGAAATTTAGAGATATTCATTTAGAAAATTACTACACATGAATCTATGAAAGTAACGTGCCTTTATATATATATGTATGTGTGCTACTCGAATATTTATTTATTAATACGTATTGTTATTTTTTTTTACAATGAGACTATTGTCAAATTACAATGATACTTTTTTGACTGAAACATTTTACTAGAGGTGAAAGTTTGGGCCGACTTAGAATTTTATAAGGCATTTTCAAAAAACCTTTAAAAAGATGGTGTTTGGGCTGGGCCGGGACAGACTTTTGGGCTCGAAATCTTAGCCCGGCCTGAAAGTTAGCGCAAGAAAAAACTCACTTGGATATTCTCTAAATGACAAAACTGCACTTTTTAATGAGAAAATGAGACAAATACCCTTTTACATTACACGAGTCTTGATTTTTATCATTAACTCTTGATTGACACTCTTTTAATTGAATATTATATTAGTCAAAATGGTATTAATGAATAATAAAAATTTAAATCCATACACTTTCAAAAGTAAATTCAGTAATTTGACATTAGAAAATGATCCGAGTTACATTTAGGATGCAAGTATGACATTTTTTATTTTCCCCTTTATTTAGTTAATAAAAATGAGTAAGATGTATGGCCATGAGTTGCAAGAATATTATTCTCAGACTGTCCAATTTGGCAAAAATCAAAATTATACTCATAATATTGTGCCTAGTATCTCATCGTAGGAGGGGAGTAAGGTTTTAGGTACCCCTAGCTAGGTAGCTAAGCTAGCTACATGGATCACATAAGATTACTTCTAACCATGAATGAAAATGTCCACGACATCGTCGATATTTCTACGATATTATTCAAATTTCGAAGTCTCGACATGGATATAAGAGGGAAAGATATTATTCTTTACCTGTCCATAAAATATCCACATATCAGTGTTGAAGTGTAATTGCACATCCTTGAAGACTAGTCATCAAGTTCGATAAATCAATAGTATCAAATTTATGGGTTAATCAAGGAAAGAGATTAAGAAACATACATGTAACACATTGACAACTACATCTAGAATTATTTAAGGATAATATCTTGGCAAATGTATTGTTTAGATTAAGATCAGAACCTACCTAATGCTTTCTAACTTGCTAGAAACTCGTTTTCATATTGAAAGTACTTTAAGTCTGTTTGATAGTTAATTTCTATGTAGTATATTGAATTATTGTGCCTTATTTATAATGAGAATGAAAAATTATATTTAAATCATAATCTATATATAATTATGATAATTTCCTACTTTACTATTTAGCATAACTCTCATATTCTAATAAAAAAACATATTATCTTTGTTATTGAAGTAGTTTAAATTAAGTAATACTGATTGTTTTAGCATTTTGTACTGATTCAATAAAAAAATTTAAATTTTTTTTGAAGTATCCATTTTTTTAAAAATATCCATCACATCGACATTATCCACAAATCAAAACCTCGACAGCCCCATCGACACTAACATTTCATCCATGCTTCTAACGTATTCCGATTATTATTCACCTCCCTGTTCACAAAAATTATGACCAAGAATTGAAAAAAAAATAAAAAATAAAACAAAACTGTAATATGAAATATTAAAATTAACTTTGACTAGCCTAGCCGCACACACATATCTCTTACTCATACTCCTACTAGGATACGTGATAATTGCGTGCAAATTGTCCTTCGTAAATTATAATTGATAATTGATATCTATGTCAAATTCCCATTCGATTTCGAAGTAGTTGCCCTATAAGAGACGCTTCTTCTTTCTTCAAATTCTCTACTACGATCCATCGCTTCATATTCATATTCAACGTCCTTCATTCCATTGCTATTATAGAATTCGCGTGAGTACTTCTGATCATGAGGATAGTCCGCCGCGCCGTCGCTTCACGACATGCGTTGCCTAATCATGCATACCCATATCCCATAATCGACGACAGCAAGAGACACCATGATGAAGAACAAAGCCCAAATAAGATGCTTGATCTTGACGGAATTATTAGTCTTTCTGATAATCATACTCATCTCAATCAAGCCTTGATCGACGTCGCGAAGAGCAAAAAGGAGGACTTATCCGTCAAGAATCATGATCTTCCCTATCAAGATTGCCAAGATCGAGAATTGGTCACCGAAAGTAGTAACGCGCTGAAGAGAAAACTAGAGACAGAAGGTGAAACTAGTCAAGAAGAATATTATAATTGGTGGTTCTTTGAGACCTTGTGAAGGTGGCTGCCGAAATACTAAGGCAGCCATGTTGAGCAAAATTTGCAAGGATGAAGGCTTTATGCGGTCAAAGCTAGAGTCGTCAAAACGGCATCTTCTTGAATCGTATCAAGTGGAGGACAAGAAACGGAGGCTCATAAAGATTCTTGATATCAAGGATTTACCTAAACAAGTTTCTTGCGGGAGTCGCCGGGGCTACAAGATCCACTATTGAATGCAATAATCCATTTCAAGGTTTGATATCATAGTTCTAATTTGATAATGAAATCAACTTTTCAAATAAGGATGTTTGAAGACCTCGATCATGTGAAACTTTCTTATCATTATTAGTTCCAAATAGAGAACTGATTTGGTGATGTTGCATATCTACAGGGAAGAGAACCGCGTGCCGCATAAGTTTGCTTTGCATCAAGAAGACTTCAATTTACCGGCTACCGGCTAATCAACAGGGCGTGAATTGCGGTTTCGTTCATGATTTTAGAAGACCCCCAGATCATGCACTCTTTTTCCTTGTTTGGGTTTTTCCCTATATGGGTTTGTTTTTACCAAATAAGGTTTTAACGAGGCGTCTTCCTGACGGGAAGATTTAGATCGGGGATAGTAACAATGTAATCTTTTGGATAGTATATATACTGTGTTGCAATTTGACATTAATGTATGGAAGTACATGGAAGATCAGAATATTTACACATTTTTGAGATTTTACCTTTCTGTAGAACGTTTATAGAAGAGAATTCCTACGCTTGTGATATGCAAATTTTCCTCGTCCTGATATGCTAACAAGTTCAGCAATAAGCATGGTAAACCAGTGTGAACAGGTCGGTCTTTTCGCCCATATATAATATAACTTTGCTCTGTCCATCTTCATATGATCCATATGCTTGTTTCCTCCACAATGCATACGATCCAATATCAGTCGTTTCTGAATACACAATTCTCCTCTCCGAGGAATATTTTGGTTATTTTACCTTCAAGGCATTCTCAATCCTTAAAGAAACAACATCTCATAAATGAACCTGAAAAAGTAGAACACACTAAAGACTGCTTGAGTTAACTTTACACTCGCGCTACCCGAAAGGAACTAGAAGTAACCTTTTCTCTAAGCTAAGCCGCAAAGAAACGGGAACAAAGAAAGAACAAACAGATTTAGAATTGTCATTATTTTGTTAACCTTCTGAAAATTAGCCTATGGATCTTGTGATACTCATCAACAGTCATCATATAATACAGAGGAGTCCTTAAACCGAACCAACTGCAAGATAAACAAATGAGCACAAACCAGCACCATGCTTGTAAGAATTGTAACAAAAATTCATCTGTGGTCTTCAATTCTGATAAATAAATGAGTTTCTCAATGTGTACTCTCATATTTAACTAAGAGAACAATCTACAATAACAAGTCATTGGACTTACTTAGCTGGGAAGGTTGATGATTTCTCTGTTTTTCAAACTTACAATGCATATAATGTTCTTAGTCTTCAAACAGAATTCTAATCTTCTTCAGAGTCTTCCAACTCCGAAATTTCCTTGGAGAATTCATCATCCATTTCAACTTCCTCTTCCTCTTCAGAATCTCCTTCCTGGTCCTCACTCTCCCCACCATCAAGAATGTCTTCTTTCGGCAACAAGTTTTCACCTTTACCCCTGAAAATAAGCCCAGTTCTCATGACATGATAAAACTTTTCTCTAAGCCGCGTCAAGGGATGCGGGTTCACGAGTTTCCCTCTATGGTACCCTTCCCTGAGAGCAACCGTCGTCGTCTTACACTTCAACGAGAGGTAGAAAATCCCGGGATACCTCGTGAAGATCCGCGTAAACTTATGTGGAAGATTCAACTCCTCTCTCATGCTTCTTAAGTAGTTCCTCTTGGTCTTCTTGTGAAGTGCCAAGCTCAAAATCTCATGCAAAACCCCAACCACCCTTTTCTCCATCAAATCACTATTCGGATCAATGTGCCTAGAATCCTCATAAGGAGAAACATAAGGCAACTTCTGAAAGTCCTCCATCCAAGCTCTAACCTTCTTCTGAGCTCCATATCCCCGCGGAAAATTCATCGGGAACGCCAAACCCGTCTCCCCCTTTTTAAACTGCCTATACTCATTCCCAACTTCATCACCCTCATTGCTCCTCTCCAACACCGACACGGCGAATTCCTCGCGCCATTGCTCGAGCCTCAAGCAACTAAGCCCGTTCGAGGCCTTAACGAATCGAAAACAATCCGGGTACTTCAGAACCAGCACTTTATCAAAGTTATCCGGCAAACCCAGATCCCATTTGATCGGATACAACGATTTCAACGGTAAAGTCCTGGTTTTCATCATCATAAGCAATCTACAAAGCCTCTCAACAGTCTCACTCTCTCGCTCTTCGTGTACGGCCTGTTCTTGCGAGTCTAACAAAAGGGCGGTGTCCGTTAATCTAAAGCAGGGCAAATTGGTGTACCTTGCGTGAGGGAATTCGTGGAAGATGGTCGGGTATCGACGCATGAAGCGGAGAACGGGGACGGTGAGGCCGAGGAGTTTCTGCCAATCGGCGACGGATTTTGCGGTGAGGAAACCTGTTGGAGAACGCTTGATCGCGTCTTTGAGAAGAGAGGCGGCTTTGAGGTCGGTGTCTTTGTCGATGATGTGGTCGAGGCTTCGATTCTTCACCCATTTGAGACGGACCTTCGTTATGCTTCGCCATTGTTGGTGAAGAAGATTGGTGGGTTCGTAAGGAGAAGGCTGGCGGTCCAGCGCGATTGGGAAGTGGATTGGCTGGGTTCGCGAGAAAGCCGACGGCCGGGTGAGCAGGCGTGGGGGGATCATGAAATGGGTTTGCGAGAGAGCACGTGTGGGAGGTGGATCGATGGGGTCGGCTCTGCGGTGCGGCGGGGTCACGGCGGTGCAACGGACGGGGCCGTGGGTTTTTAGGGGTTTTTGTTGGTTTTTTTTTTTTTTTTGGCTGAATATATCAGGGGTTTGGAATTGGGTTTAGTTTTGGGTCTGCAAGTAAGGGTCAAGACCTTTTTTTTTTTTTTTTTTTTTCTGAAAACACAAGACCTGTTTCGTTTTTGAGGTTTTTTTTTTTTTTTTAAATATAAGTTTTTTTTATTTTATAAATGGTAGCTCTATTCACAATTTTTTTTTTTTTTTTTTTTTTTTAAAAAAATTTTTTTTTTTTTTTAAAAAGTTGGTCTTTTTCCAATTTTTTTTTTTTTTTTTTTTTTACACTCCACACGTCCTTTTAAAGAGTAATTAACACATAATTTTTAAATTATTTAGTAGGTGACAGTTTAATTTTAATAAAATAAATTTTAAACTCTTTAATTTTATCTCATTCAGTTCTTCAATTTAAATTTTCAATTGGAATCGGTGAAATAATCGGGAGCTAAAAGTGTTCCTAACTATTTTCATAAAATTATCAAATTTTAACCACTTTATTTTTCTTTTCACAACAAAATTTTCTTTTAATTTGTCATTTTAATGTTATTATTTCTTTTATCTCTCTACGTATTGTTCTTTTTTTTAATTTTGGACATATAACCTTTTTTCAGATATAGTGAAAATTTATTATTATTTTTTTAAAAATAAATTATATAAATATGAGCATAACAACAACATTATTGTTATTTATTATGTCAATTGAAATTATTACAATATATAAATGCCTCAAAAGGATCCCATTGCTTTCTTCAGGTGAGTTCCGTTCCCATTTTTTCCCCTTTTTTCCTTGCTTTTGTCGTTTAATTTTTTTTTTTTTTCCTTTTTAACGTTTTTGGCTTTTTTCATTTCTTGTCAATTTAGAGCTTTATGCTTTGCTTTCTTTTTCTCTTGAAATCTTATTTCTTTTGTTTTGAGATTTGAATCATTAAATATATTTTTCTTCTAATTTGTTCCCTATTATGCTATAATTTTCTTTTTTCAGGGAGACTCTCAACTAATATTTTACTCATAAATATTGTTTTTCTAATTCATCCATGTTGAAATTTTTTTCAAATGTGTTCCTATTAAAGAAAAATTAATGCAGTAATCTCAACTACTATTTTTTCATTATACTCCCTAATTAATTATTCTCAAACAAGTCCCCTTTTGAAAAAAAATTTTCTTTTAGTTGCACTCTCAACTACTATTTTATTCGTAAGTACTGCTTTTCGCATTTATCCATGATATTTTTCTTAAATGTATACTAAAGGAAAACGAGAAATGTTAGTATCACTCTTTTTCACTCTATGCATTCACTGTTTGACACGTGAACCCTACTATCTCATTTTTTATTTAAAATAATAATATATCATGTTAATAGAGTGTACGTGTCAAAGAGAACATGATGTTTTAATCTTTCACACACATATTCTTAAACTACTCCCCATTATACTTGTTACACCCCTCTTAAAATTTTGAAAAAGTCCTTAAACTAAATCGTCCTCAATTATACTTTTTACGCACATTTTTAAAACACCCACATTCTACTTGTTTTACCCTTTAAAATTTTTTAAAAAAGTCTCTACAACTAAAATTGTATTTTTTTGTTCATCCGCCCACCAATTAAATTTATCCTTTTCTTTCTCTTACTTTTTCATATACATGAAATCGAAGTGTGGTTTATTATTTTATTTTATTATCGTTCTACTATATATGAAATTGAAGTAGGGTACACTAAATTTTAGAAAATACAATGGGCAAAAGGAAGAGGATTCCTCGAAAGAAGAAACCCAGCAAAAAAAAATAAAAAAAAATACGGCGATCAAAACAGATGGTATTGGAACATAGGCATATTGATCTTTAAACCAAAAGCAACAGATGGCATATGTATTCCGGACATTGATAATACACAAAAGCAACAGATAGGTTCCTCAGAAAAGAGAGAGAGATGTAGAGAGAGAGAGAGAGAGAGAGAGAGAGAGAGAGAGAGAGAGAGAGAGAGAGAAACACATGCGTTGAAATTATATATGCAGACTTTATAATATTCTGAACGGGAAGAACAAGAATTTCTAAAGAAAAATTTAACTGTGGAGAGGTTTTTTTTTATTTTTTATTTTTACGTATATCCATCTCTATTCTTTTGAAAGAAAAAGGCATAATAAATATTAGAATGTAATATTTTTTTTTAGAGATGTGGTGTATAATGAGTATTTTTTGAAAATAATATTAATTTTATTAACGGATATTTTAGTAATATAAAAAAGAGGCGTGTAAAAAGTAAAAATATGGATGTCAATAGACGCACTTTTTATATTATTGTAATCAAAATAACACGACCAACAGATAAAATTGTCAGCCCTAGAAAGAATTAAAGCGGAAATGATCTTAAAATTCAACAGTACAAGTGAAATCATAAACGGAGGCGGGGTTCAGTAACGGCTTAAACCCCCACTCAATTTATTTCTTCCTTAAAAATGATATATGTATATATGTATTTTGCAATATCAACATACATATAGCTCCCACTAAATATTAAAAATGCAATATTATAATCTTATTCTTATTATTCTTTAATTATTAGCCTCCACTGACAAACATTCCTGACTCCGTCACTGAGTGAAATTATTCTTGTATATTAATAGCCCAACGTGCACATATTACGTGGTAACTCTAGGGGCTCTGCTCTTAAAAAAAAAAAAAGACGGAAAAACTTTGACGTAGAGATGCCAACACATGTGGTTTTTACATCTTCCTAGAGGTTTTGTTTATTTTAGTATTATTTTAGGAGTGGAAGGAGTTGCACTAAAGATCTCAACAAGATTAGTGATTGTGTGAAACTTCTCTCGGGCGAACATATAGGTAACGTTTGATTCATGGATTCAGACTCATGATTTATGATTTTGATTTTTGAAATTTAAATTTTTTGTGAGAGAAAAACACTGTAAAGAACCATGAACCATGATTCAGAACCAGAGATGGATAGATGAAAAAAAACATCCCATAGAGAGTTTTAGTCAAGCAGATCAAGCTCACTCTTTTGCGGTTGATGGCAGCTTGGTGCTTCCTCTACCTTCAGTCAGTTGCAGTTTCCAAGTTTTATAGAAACCAGAGGTCTCGATTCAGTTAAGAGTGTAGATGATGCCGGAACAATATTAGAGATTTACCACAAAAAATTTAATTTCTAGTCACAACATTTTCTTGTGATACTGTAGTCACAACATTTTTACGTGACTAAATGTCATTTATGCATTCTGTCACGAATTTTTGGCATCACTAAAATATTTAGCAATGGGATTTTCACTCATGGAAAAAAGTTTGTCACACAAAAAAGTCCCGGTGAATATAAATCACTAAAAAAAGTTTGTGACTAAAGCTTTGTCATACAAAAAGTTTGTGAATAAACGCATATAGATCACTCCTTAGCAACAAAAAAAAAAAAAAACAAAAAAAAAAGCATATAGATCATCACAAGGTTGTCACTAAAAATGATGTTAGCCACATAAAAATGTCAATATATATATATATATATATATATCTATATATTTTGTGACTAAAAGTTTAATTTTTATGTAGTGATTGCATGGAACTCAGCAATATTACTACTTATATGGAGATAGTACTGTTATGACTCAGAAATTGCAATTAAAGTTTTTTTTTTTTTTTTTGAAGAATGCAATTAAGGATTTTTGGATTTCACTATTAATGATATTCCCAGTAAATCATAATGTTTTTAGTGCAATTTTATGGAGAATTTCGTTAATTATTACCGGTGAATAATAATTAATGATTTACGTTATCACAATTTCTTGGCTAGAATGAAAGCTTTTCTTTTATAATTCCATTTTTTTAATTGAAGTCTCTAATTCATATCTCCTCTAATTCTGCAGTTCTTATAGCGGAAATCCATCAAATCTTGCAAATCGTTTCTTTTTTCCCCTGAAAAAGCATCCAAGTTCAAAACATTAATATGATGATCTCCATATTAATTATAGTATTGAATTCTATAACCTCCGAAATATTTTCCGGCAGCAGCCCAGATACGAATGCCTATTCCGGGGTTCAGCACAATGCCGGAATTAGGAAAAAAAAATGGAGGTTATTGCTACTATTATAACTGCAAAGATTCTACGGAATCATTAGATACGGAATCATTAGATCAACAAAAAGGATTTCTCTCTATCTCATAAATTATAGGAAAATTAATATTTTACCATTATTACTCTCAACTCTCACCCTATATATACCCCCTTCCACAAACTTACATACACATATTAGAAATTTAGAATCATATATAGTAGTGTCTGATCAAAAGTTGGAAGTAAAAATATGGGGTTCTTCAAAATTCTTTTGACTGCTATTTTCACTCTTTTTCTGATGGTGTCTTTTGCAAGTGCCAGCCGTGAGATAAGAAGGTTAGTAGGAGGAGCAACTCCGGTTTCTGTGTCGAATTCTTGGTCGACATCGTGGGAGCTGAAACGCAAAGTCCCAAGCGGTCCAAATCCGGCCGAATCTCCCGAATCGCCGCCACGAGTAGGAGGAGCAACTCCGGTTTCGGTGTCAAATGCTTGGTCGACATCCTGGGAGCTGAAACGCAAAGTGCCAACTGGTCCAAATCCGGCTGAATCTCCCGAATCGCCGCCTCGAGTAGGAGGTGCTACTCCGGTTTCGATGTCGAATGCTTGGTCGACATCCTGGGAGCTAAAACGCAAAGTGCCAACTGGTCCAAATCCGGCTGCATCTCCCGAATCGCCGCCGCGAGTAGGAGGTGCAACTCCGGTTTCGGTCTCAAATGCTTGGTCGTCGACATCGTGGCAACTGAAACGCAGAGTTCCAACTGGTCCAAATCCGGCTGAATCTCCCGAATCGCCGCCGGTTGTTTAGTCGTTACACTAGAAATTATGAAATCTTTTTCGTTTTCACGTAGAAAAAACTTATGCATGCTTCAATAATATATATATAATTATAAAGGCTATGTATGATTTAAGGAGCTTGGGTCCTAGTTAGTGACCAAAACCGCTTCCTAAATATGTTATTTTCTTTGTTATTATTTAAGCTTTACGATTATCTTTTGCTTTCTTCATGGCCATTTTGCTGGTTTGATAACCTCTTTTTCTAATAGCAATTTTATTTTTGGTCAGTTTATTTGTAGTAATGATATCGTTCCATCAAAAAAAAAAAAAAAAAACGGTGGCAGATGGTAGAATAAGGCTTCTACTAATTCCTTTTCGATTCCTTAATGTCCAATAATGCTTAACTATATCGCAAAAACGAGGGTAGATATTTTTTTTCTCGAATAAATCCTTGAGGGCAAACGTAAAAAAATGTGTTCTGGTTTGTTGGTAAAGAACATTAGATATATCCAGTTATATATCCACCGAGTATATTACGATGTTTTTTTTTTTTTTTTTTTTTTTTTTTTCCAAGGCTAATGGTTAGATTATAAATGCAAGAATATCCATGCATGCTAGCTAAGAGAACTTTAAATTATTATTTTTTTTTATATGGCCATCACTGGTCAAGAGCTCCAAAAATTATAAATATCAAGAACTTATACACTATATAGCCACTGCATCCTCTATGTCTTTGGCCTTTAGTGTCACAGATACTTAATCACTCATAGTTATAGAGATCGTAGCAAGAATTTTAGGCTTAAACTTTCTGTTGTACAGAGTCCTCCATTAGAGGCAATCACAGAACATATTAGTCAGGAAGAGAGCTATTATGATATAAAGAAAGAAACTTCAGAATTTCATAGAGAAAAGAGAACTTTTTAAAAACTCAGTAATTATGAAGTATGAAGTCTTAATATTATTTAGACAAGAAATAATATGTGTGAGACAGGAAATGTGTTGCACCATTTAAAAATCCACGAATTCACATAATAAGAAAAGATTAGCCGAAAAAAAATAAAACAAAAGAACTATATTCTTGTCATTTCATTTGGTCACCACCTAATTTTAGGGAGAAAATTGTGGATTTTGATTAATTAGCTTCTACACAGACCATAGACTAGAAGGAACCATCAGCTGACTCCTCACAAAAACTCTTTAAGATGGAAGCAATGACCAGGGACTCGTCATCCTCACGATTATTCCGATTCATGACATTCCGTGTTATAAAGATAGGTGATGATCATCATAACAACCTTCCGGCTTTAGTGACGGCGGGCGAAAATCGGGGTTGTGAAGGAGACAGAATTAGCTGGGAATGAATAGGGTAAGAAAAGTTGGTGCAAGCATTCTCAATCCTGCTGGAAGAGATGGAAGAAAGATCATAAGCAAAAGTAGCTTCCTCGGCAGTGTCAAATGTGCCTAGCCAGTATCTGCTTTTTAGTGTATGAGTTCCGAATCCCAGCAGCATATCTCCCCCATGGCCTGGCGCCGAACTCCGAGGCATCTGATTGTCTAGAAACTCTTGTTTTAGGGTTTCTCAAGAGCAATTGAGAACAAGAGATTTCCATACTAATGGCTCAAATGAAGAAGAAACTCAAGTAAGAGAAATAACCTAGTCGTAGGTGCTTATGTGGGGAGTTCGATGTGGGAAACTTGGAATTATGTGGCATTTCTTAATAAAATAATTTCTTCTTTTTATATGCATAAGAAGACAATTTGAAGTTGATTAATCTAGTGTTGATCAGCGGGGCAAGTAAAAAAGTATAGTCGTGAATACTGAGTGAATTGTGTATGAATATATATATATATATTGTTTTCTTACCATTTTCCTTGAAAATGTCTTAAGCAGATAAGCATGACACCATTATCCGGCCACTGGCACAAAGAATTTTGAGGCTATACATGCAACCACCAATCAATTATTACTTTCATTTGCATCTTTTTTATTGACTCATAAACACTTGAGAGATCTATATTGTGCGATTCAATAAGTATTTAAAGATCTTTCTATTTTTTTTTTTCTGAAGTCTCATTCAACTAGAATTAAGAAATGTTAGAAAAGTAATAAGTTGCAAGAACGTCTAGGAAGTTAACTAATCAATTAAAAAAAAAAGAATAAACATGAGAAATTATGAGAAAAAACTTTTATATTACAACAGATCAGATGCTTATGTAAGCTAAAAAGTTTTTTGTGCGTTAAAACTTTGTTTAGCAAAACAGAAACTTATTTTTAGAAATGAAAAAATTCAGAGTTACTGAAAATTGTATTTTTGCTCTTTAATTCGTCCTTTTCTTCATCTGGTTCTCTAACTTCTTTTTTTTTCCCTCTCTAAGCTTTATTTATTTTCCGGGCTTCACCGCCGAGCTTTTTATCATGTAGAAAGAAGGCCACTTTCGGCTGCAAAACTTTTTGTTCAAGGGAAATGTTTAGAGATCTTAACATTTAGACGTAGTGTGCTCTCTTGAATGATCTTAATCCCAGATTTCCCTAGTGAAAACAAAACTAAATAATATGATTAATTTCAATATCTTGAGACCTATAAATAATTAGTTAAAACTTTCCTAATAATTATAAGGGGCTTTAGGCAATTGCCTTGCTGGTTTATCCTTAAGCCGGAACTATGAACAACGAAGATTATAGATCCATTGATGGGGGAATTACACAGATGCCCAAGATATTCCACTAAATCCACCCTAGAAATATTTTCCTTCCCTCATAAGTTACAATACAACAAGGGTGTCATTCGCATATTAAATTTCATGTACAAACCAAGAACCAGAACACGGAATTAGCCCTGGGAAAAAAAGAAGGCCGCATACAAGTAACAATAACAATAAATGAAAACGAGCCTGTCAACCATAAAGATTATAAACACATATCTGGCAGTCTTTCTTTCCAAGAACCCTACTAAGTCAGCTTTCGCCATAAGGATCCCTTGGAAGCCGATAAACACTTCACTCTTGGGAAAACAAAACCAGCTTTTGGGGCGTTCTTATCGACCAGAGAATTCTCATATATCTCTTTGCACTCTTGTACAACCTGTTCCACATGGACAATATCATATCAAATTTTGTAGATACAACTCAAGCACCTTTCTCTAAAGCCTTACACGGTTTGCACCGAATGCATAGATTGGAGACGAACAAAAACCAATTTTATTTAAATGAGTTAATTAAGCACCGAGAACCTTTACTCGGCTTTTGACAAAGAAGATGAGAAAATCAAAATCATGGTGATTCAGCTCATACACTTGAGTAATATGAAGTGAAACTGTGAAAACATATCTGGTAGTATATGACGCCATTTAAGTTGCACCCTACTAAGTTTGCAAAACCAGAAAGCACACGAGAATTACACTCAATATTTTACGAGGAGAACCCAATGATACGGAGCACCTTTCGAGGTTTATTTATTACTGGGAATCTTTAACTAGCAATACAGTTGCATCATACCTCTTTGGCATCTTTCCGTGGTATTCCTTCTCTAAGCCCAACAAGTTTCTCAACAACCTCAGGCTGCAATAGAGGTCACCAGATGGTTAATAACTCGAGCTTAAGAGACTTCATGGAAAATTCATAAGCAAATTACATGATACCAAATCAGAACTTGGCCTTGCGGTAATGTATCTTCTGCAGCTAAAAGCTAAAAGTATAATAAAAGATTGCATATTAAACCGAAAATACGTTAAGAAGACTTTTTTCCAGTAGTTACCGGGCAGTCCGGTTGATGTTCAAGAATATTTGTGTATATGAGGGTGAAGGTGTCCAAGCTCTCTGCTGAAGCAAGTTCCCTTAAATCACTTAGTATTCTGGCCCGACCTTCAACTTTCTGTAGACAGAGGTTCAAGATCAGGAATGGATGCGAAAAGTTGGAAGCAATTGACACAAGTATCTCAGTGAAGAAATTCACATACGCAAGTGAGTTGTGGGGAACTCTTATCAAGAATAACGGTATTTTAGTAATATCAGAGAAAGGGGTTGGCACTTACGGTAACACTTATATACTCCCTGAAAAAGTCCATAAGAACCTCTTCGTCTAATCTCATTCGTTCAATGGTCTCCTCCTTAATGTAGCTCCTCTAAGGTTCATAAACATATATAAAATTAAGTAAAAGAAACAGAACAGTTAATGATTGAATATATCCAGAGCGTCTCTCCCAATGAGAGAGAAACAAAATTATCTTCACCTCGCCAAGGTATAAAAAGCACATTTTATTCCTTTAATTTTGAAGATCGTTCACACAAATATTACAAGAATGATATGTAAAGGCGCTATTAGTACATGTAGTTCCAATGTAAACTAGGAGTCAGGTTCACTTATTTTCACCGAACCAGAATCAAGTTCTAATGTAACAGTCAAAAGAAACACACAAATTTGATTTTAATAAAAAGTACCTGTGTTAGAAGATGATCAACATATACAACCACTGTTTCCTCCAGGCAAGCCTCAACAAATCTTCTAAATGATCTATCTTCAATGTACCTGACAAAACATTAAACCCCATTAAAGAGGCATTAATTTGCATGAAACCGAAACCGCAATAATGTATGAGCATATACAGAGAGTCTCATTTAATCGGACAATAAATGTTTCAAGGTTAGATAAAACATCAAATCACATACAAGGCTCAATGTATCCTCATAAAGCATGATAAGATTAAAATATCTTTTTTGTCAACAATGTTAAAAACAGATCCAAAGAGTACATGATTAGAAAGGCAATCAGTTCTAAAAGAACCACAAAGAACAACAGAAACAAAACACAACTTTCACGTGCGGCAAGATAAAAATATAAAGAGATGTTCCTAACTTCAATGAAGAAAAGAGCAACAAAGAAATGAAAAACTTGATTCTATCACAGAGGAACTATCCCCTTATCTAGCAATCTTGAAAAGAGATAGAAATCTAGGCATTACTCTTTGCAACGCTTAACTGAGTACGTGTTATACCATAACCAGGAAACCCAGAAAAAACTAGAACTTTAGTGTGGCCATAAATAATTTGATAGATCCTTCCATAACTAAACCCTTCACTCGACCGAGCCCCGTGAAGCAAAATAGAGAAACAACAAATAATTAGTAAATAACTAGATAATAAAAATAAAATAAAAATAAAAAAAGTCCCAATTCCGTAGCATTCATATTACAGTGAAAATAAGAACTCCACGTGAAGCAAAATAGAGAAATAACAAATAATAAGAAAATAACTAGATAATAAAAATAAAAAATAAAAAAAGTCCCAACTCCGTAGCATTAGGTGAATCTAAAACAAAAACCGGGTGGGGGGAGGCGGATGAGGCAGTTCTTTCTCAACACATCATCTGACCCACAAAGGAAATATCGCAGACTAAAATGAAGAACACAAATGTAACTGGTAGCAAATGCATCCTGATCTATAAATAAATGTGAAAGTTCTTGAAAATTTAGGATGCTTTTTGGACAAAAGTCGCTTTGAATTGTCCCAGGTTGGTGTTGCTTGTGCAAGAATGATGGGGAGACAGCAGATCACTTATTCCTCCATTGTGCTTATTCCGCCTGTTTTATGCTCAAGGAGTTTGATTTTTCTTGGGTCATGCCTAGAAGCTGTGCTGAGTTGCTGGTTTTCTGTCCTCCTTCCAGTCTTAGTCAAAGGGAATTGATTCTATGGAGGGCTGCAACTTTAGCTATTTTTTGGGGTTTACGGTTAGAAAGGAATAATAGAATTTTTTAGGATCATGGAGAGGATGGGTATATTATTTGGTATAAAATAAAGTGCTGGGTGTCGTGGTTTATGGGGATTAAAATTTTGGAAGGCCAATTTTTTCGGATTTTATTAGGAGTTGGGCTCCTTTTTTATATTCCTGCTCTTACTTTGATTATGGTTTTAAGTTGTATTGATTCTTCTGTATTTTTGGAACTGGTTTAGTGGAGGATAATTCTTCCTCTCTTTTCCTAGTTCCCATTTCCTTTATTAATAAAGGTTCCTTTTCTTTTCAAAAACAAAAAAAATGTTTAACAATTCATGTAGAAATGAAACTTACATCTTCACATCCGTAAAATAATCACCAAAAGTTGCAACTAGATACTCAGTAACCTGCCCCTCGCACCACTCTGAAATATTAAAAAAAAAACAACACGAAATAAGTAACTTAAACTTGACGAATCAAAAATGAGTTTATAATGGAATACTGCTGAGAGACTACAAGATGATCGGAAATGGTTGATCCATCCAGAGTATCATAAAAACTGCAAAGACATTTTACCTTTATGGTAAAGTTTAACCAGTAACTCATGTACTCCTGGATCTTCGAATATAACACTAACAGTTAGGTGCACAGCCTCCTATAATCAATTGAAAATCTAGTAAGTTCTGGTCATCCACAAAGTCTTATAGCAAAGCACCATGTCTTCCTTGAACACCCCTATAAACCGGTCAGTGAAGGTAAAACCGGTAACAATTCAAACACCAGGTATAAATATCTACCTGTGTTCTGTTTCAAGTAAAAGAAATGTTTTTCGTATATATACCTATCTATATGCATAAAAATATTGTGTTGTTCCCAAGAAAGCAAAAATGAACAAAGAGAATACAATTTTTTAATGTTTACTGTTTCCCAACAAAGAACTAAAATACTATGCGCATAAAAGTTGAATATGATCAAATCGCGGACACATAATTATATATCCAAGATACCAAATAACTGTTCACAGGAATATACACGTAAACCAAGTAAATCATATTGTTAAAGATCAAAATAAGGAGAGAAAAAAAAAAAACATGAAGCATAAATCTCAAGTACAAGTGAACTGCAAATTAAACTTAGAATAAACGGACGCATGTTGACGAATATTGCTCATAGGTCTGAACACGGCGGGCGTGAGATATGTGCATTATTTAAAGATAAACCGTAAATAGTATCATATAAGTACATGGAGCAAAAAAATTATCATACCTTTGCAACCTCCAGAAAACCTTTACAAGTGTCCTCAAAGTTGACCTGTTGAAAGGAATAAGATAAATTTGAAAATAAAATAAAATAAGTCAAGCATACCAAAGCCATTCCTAGAATAGGGAAAACAAAGGGCCAATTTAACATTGTTGTGTTGTTAAACTGTGACCAGAGGCGGGTAAGAATTCGGTACATTTTGTTTTGAAGTTGTGAATACCAAAAGCAGAAAATAAATGTTTGGTAAACTAAAACTAGACTACAATAGATATACTTTATTGTCATTCTAGTTTTGGTAAAATATAATTAGACTATAATAGATATACTTATTTTCATTCTAGTAAAATATTTTAGCATACATTTTATAGTTTTAGTTTTTATTACTAATATTATGGTCAACTATAATATTGTTGCAGAGGAGATTGCGCGCACATGAGATCGAGCATGTTTGTGTGAGAGAGAACGGAGATGAGTATAAAATTTTAGCTTTCATTTCCCACTATAAGGTTTAGGCGTTCTCTCAAGAATTACGAGATTCAACATGCATCACAAATTAATGTATCAAGAAATATATTAAATGTTAACTTCATAGGAAAAGCCTTATAATGGCAAAGTTTGAATCCATGAGGCACAGAAGACCAGGCAATCAACTAAAAACTGAAAGGAACAGATTGAAAGTTGAGAAGGGGCTAAAACAACAAAATTAAGCTAGGTGTTGGAGCTGTTACAGGGAGAATAACAAAAAAGAGGGGAATAAAAAATTCAAATTGATAGGGCATAACCTGCTCAGCATAGTTCTGTGGAAGAGCTTCTACAATGCTATTACTTAGCTCCATTGCAAGATCATAGCAGCGAAGATTATTGTTAATCTGAAAAAATAGTAAAAATTTTAATAATAATAAAGATGATGATGTTGATAATAATAATAATAAAATAATAATAATAAAAGAGAAGTCTGTATGTAAGTTCCGTGCATCAGCTACTAGAGGTAAATAATCACAGACCATAGCACACAGAGGTTCCAAACCAATTTCAGAAGCAGGTTCTTCAAATCTCTGCCGTTCAGCTGCTTGAAAGTCAATCATCACCTGAAGAATTAGATATAACAAGGGCCAAACATTAGCGACAGTTTTGTGTGTGTGTGTGTGTTGG